TATTTTGACCTTATATCACAATAAAACATTTTTTTTACTGCTTTGTTGGATATAAAGTGGCGTAGTTCATGCTGGCCACATGTATAAGCTTCTGAGGACCACAACTTACTGTTCTACCAGCAGAACTTAAATCATGCAGCAGTTTCTATCCAAACTTCTAGCTACCTTCTTCTATAAAAAAGAAAACAAAAAACTCAGCAGCTTATATTGCCCCACCTTGTAAACCTCTGCCTGTCTTTGGTGTTACATTCATTAGTTATGTCATTCTGTTCTGGGTGGTCTTTGCTGCTGATCCTTTATCCTCAAGAATTTTATAAATGCATGTAAAAAAGCAGGGAGGTCCAAGAACAAAGAAACAGAGGCAAATATAATCTGCTTTAAACCGATGCTGTATTGGTATGTTGTAATATTTTGACTAACAGATTACAGATTTGTTCAAGTATGTGCTGCACATAACTTTTGAAAGTCGCTTATAGGATATCTGAAAAAGTCAGACAAAAGGAGTGTTTTATTAGTTTATTCTTCAAAGGATAAAAGTCTGGTTTCCCAGAATACAAAATAATTGGTGTCCAACTACAATGCATATGTATCATCATTAGTTTTAAAAGAACTAAATGTTGATTCAGGTTCGGACTTACAACCCTGTATCCAGAGGGGTTGGGATGCTGGGTAAAATGTAAACAACAGAACACAAAATAAAGACATAATTCTAATGTTTTGATTAGTCTTGCGGAGTTCAACTAATTGAAACAGGAAATTTCTTTTTTATATGTATCTGATACCAGAAACATGTTGATTAGCGTTAGTTTGCTGGAATCTTTTTGGAAACCATTGTCAGGAAACTCAGCTTGTATACATTTTATGAGATCAAGTTAACTCTAAAATGTCCAGAGAAAAATACTAGAGTTGATACAAAATGCTGCCTTTGAGTAAGAGTTTGAAATCAGACAAAATTTCTAAACAACCCCTTCAATTTCCCGTTATCTTTAATGCTAACCTTTCAAATGCTAGCTTATTGGTTGAACTACATGGCAGAGGCTACATTTCATCATGTTACGGCCACATTTTTTTGTACATTTCATTTGGATTTCATGAAATAGATCAACACAAAGTAGAGCATAGGTAGTGGAGTGGAAATAAGGAAAGAACATTATGAAGACTGAGAAAACAGTATTATATAAATCTTCTTTTAAAGTTCCCCACAAGGGAACACATCACCCTGGATACATGATCCGTATGGTGAAACATAAAAGCGGAAGCATGATGCTGTATGGATGCATTGGGGAGATGGAAGCTGTTGAGTGTTGATGGTAAAATGAATGGAGCTAAAAATAGGACAATACCATTTGAAAACCTCTTAGACTGCAAAACGTGGCATTGGAGCAGGGGGTCACCTTCTAGCGCCACCCCCAAAAAGTTCAAACAGATTGTTTTACTTTGGTCTATCACATAAAGTCCTAACAAAACTCATGAAAGTCTGTGGTATTAGTATGATAAAATGTGAAAATATTCAGAGCCTATTAATAACTTAGCAAGGCACTACACTTCTAGATGCTTCCGCTAGAAAATTGCTTATCAGTGATAATCTACATTTATTATTTACATTTTATGTAGCATTCCACTTTTGCTTCGAGACAGAGTTAAACTGCACTTTGAAATACCCAGAGTACGGTTTTCTACAGCCACTGAGGTTTTTCTGTATATAATTGGTCTGACTGAATCAGCAGCTTCTCAGTTGTAACAATTTGAAACCGCAAATAACTTCACAAACGCCTCTGTTTCTTTAAAAGAAATTTATCATTGAAATAAATTATTTTGGATAGATACCCGGAGCTAAAAGCACAAAGAGGACCTGTTGTAGGAATCAGACTTGAAGGCTTCAATATTTTGGTTTATATCAGTTATCATGTCTATATGTTTTATTTTTTTAAGAATGCAAGAGCTGAACAACAGTAAGGCATACGAATGACATTATTTGTTTGAAGCATTAGCAGAAATAAGATAAGGGTTTAAATAGCAGAGCATCCTGAATGCTTCTAAAATTCCTGAAACTGAATTTGTTACAATTCTGGTAAGATCCATTGTGCACATGTATATATTATACAGTAATCCCATAAATCGCTCTGCTTTGGAGGTGAGGGTCAGATAAAGAGGATGAAGGCTTGCTTTAAGTACTGTGAATGATTTCATGCACAAAAACCTGCAGTCAGAAAAAAGGCACCTGCTGTATCTTACTCTCTCAATTTTCCAGCAATGGCACTGGGAGGATCTGTTAAAAATCATAAGCCTTTCGAGAAAAGAACACTCAAGAACTAACATCCTGTCAAAAGTTCATCATTTTTCTTCCACTTCTGGTGCACCTGACAAGGGGGGAAAGCATCAGCTGGGGCGCAGAACAAATAAAAAAAACAAGACAAAAAACAAACTGAAGAGTAAATGAAATCTGGGTTGGAAGTAAAAAAAAATCATCTTAGAAAATAAAGAGGAAATTTGGCTTTAATTGTTTGCGACCAGAGCAAGTTTGTTTCAGTAAGTTTGTCAGAACAGATGCACACATTCAAAACAACAAACTGGGTTCATGCAGATAAATAGTTGTGAGAATGTATTAGAGATGTAGATGTGATCTTTTTTATGCTGCCATGAGGATCCCTGTTTTTGTTCTCTCATATACAGTTAAATCACCTGAACAAATAACCAAAGTCCTCAGTTTCAGGAGTGTTTTCTGGTGAGAAATTCCAACTCATGTTCTTCAACACTTATTCATACTACAACCTTATTTAAGATAATCATTGAATCTCTTTTAAAACACACTAAAATTATATTTCCTGGGATGATGTTCCCCTCTGACAGCAGGGTGACTCAGTAACTGTGATTTCACCCTTAGAAGACCTGAGCTTCATCCTCTAACCCCTAGAAATGAGACACAGTTTGAGTATACAGTACATCATTGCTCTTTCCTTCATGATCCCAGCTTCTGCAGAGATGTTTAGTGGAGGGACACACTGCTGAGTAAGACATTGAGTGGAGTCTGCAGCTCTGGCAGCTTCTCCTTAAAGGTATTGTCCATAAAATTTCTACTGGGTTTTAGGTTTGGCACCACCAGGAGTTGTATCAGGAGGCGGGCCTCCACCTTGGGCAAGTCTTCGCAGACTGTTGGAGAGAGATAGAGGTGAGGTTAGTGCTTCTTTAAGGCGTGAAATACAATCAATGCTTACCAAAATAGCAACAATGCAATGCTCAACTTTTAAATTAGGGTATCAAAAAGCTAAACCCAACAAGAAAAAAGTTATTTCTCAATAATTAAATTAACATTTGTTAGTATCTAAACTCTACTGGACAGAAAGTGAACTTCAACAGGCCAATAATGCTCCAGAAAACTCAAATGGGGCTGAATTAAAGCAATTCTGCAAATAGAGATGGACCAACAGTTCCTCATGGCTGCATGCAATTGCAAAATGTTTCATGACACCAATGGCAGCAAACATAGTCTGGAAAAATGACCTTTTTACACAGAGTTATGTGGTGAAGATAGCTTGTTTCTTTTTTCAGCTAATTTTCAAAAATTACAATTTACTGAGTTATCGTTAGTATTAAAATGTGTTTGATGATCTAAAACAAATTAAGTCTGACACAAAAGTTAAAACAGAAGGAATCTTGACATGTACAGATATGTATTCTTAAAATGTAAAACTTCTATGCGTAGTCATTCATAAGTTAAGAAATAGAAACGCTTTAAAGTAGGAAGGGCTAAGTATGGACACTATATCCAGTTTCCTTTAGAGGTTTTATTTGTGTGAATATTCCATAAAATTAAACAAAAACACTGCACTTCATGCATTTTACTGGGTAATGCTCCCTTCCTTTTTAAAGAATAGGTTTATATTCTAGAACAGTTATGGGGCTGCACTAGTAGCGTTGCAGTTCCAAAAGATGGCGCAATACTCACAAGTCCTTGACGTTGTCAATTTTGGCCTGAATTTTTCCAATAAAGCCGTCCACTTGCTCCTAAAATACCACAGTTGGTGCAAAAATTCAGAATTTGTTGTACTCGATTAAGTAGCTAAATGAAAAGTTATTACCTGTCGTCTTTCATAGAAAAGTGGCAAAGAAAAGAGAGCAATCACACCTGGGGGGAGGAGAAGAAACAGTTGATGTGTGAACCAAAGTGTTTGTTAATACTCACATGGACAAAATTATTCGTACCTCTCGTTTATAGAAAGAAAAACCCAGAAGGCTCACAGAAATAACTTAAATCCAACAAAAGTAATAATAACTAAAATATAGTATTGTAAATATATATAGAAAAGAGTGAAAGGGACATGTAAAATCAAGGTGTGTCCACTTTTTAGCATCACAGGTGCAATCTTGTAATCATTAGTACCTTAGGCCTATATATTGAGCTAAAGGTGGTGACTGATGTTTGGTGTCATGGTGTATACGACACTCTACATGAACCAGAGGAAGCAAAAGAAAGAGTTGTCTCAGAAGATAAGAAAGAAAATGATAGATAAGTATGTCAAAGGAAAAGGCAAGAAGACTACCTGGAATCTGTCAAACTACATGACGAACCAAAAAGCTTATGGAATAATGTTTTAAATACAGGTCATCAACAGTTACAGGAAACATTTGTTTGCAGTGATTGCCTCAATAAGCTGTGCAACAACAACAAAAAAAAAAGATAAAGACACTATCATTTCTGTCCAGGGCTGTTTCATGAGTTAAATTTTTTTAATCAGGCTGTTGAAGCATGATTGAAAAGAAATGTGTGCATTTCCAAAGAATTTCTCATTACTATTGTCAAATTCAAGTTATTTCTCTGATCACTGTGGATTTTTCTGTCGTTAAACAAGGGGTACCAACAATTTTTTTCCACATGATTATTTGTTCTCTCTCCAGTGAAAACATCAGTTGCTTACTTATGATGAGAATAGTAAGGCCATTGCAAAGGGCTCCCAGGTATGTGACGAGGTACATCAGAAACAGCAACTAGAGAAACACAAATCAACAAATAAATAATTAAAACACAACAACTGTGGGAAATGTGGTGGATTTTAATCATATATGTGCAAATAGGTCTATAAAATCTCTTAGATGGGCTAAAAAATACAGAGGTTTCAGAAGTTATCCATCTTCCTACAGTGTAGCTTGATTTAGATTCCATAAATGCGTGTTTACGGTATCTAATATCTGTCAGGCTCTCAGTCTGAGTTACAGGATCATGTTAATATGTCACTGGAAACGCCTGTCTAACATGGAAAAAGACTTCATCTTATCCTTGGGTCTCTGTGTGCTGACTCAAGTATGTCATTTAGCATACCAGCAGGGTCATAGTGGACCAGGAAGGGGCTCCAGCTCTCCCCATGATTTCTTATTTTCTATAAATGTATCGGCACTGTGAAAAGTTAGATTTAAATAATGTCGTAATAGAGTATGATGATGATGGGGTAAAATGAACATACTGTAAAAGTAAGGATGTTTATCTACTAGCACAGTAAAAGTTAATGTAGAGGGTGTCCTTTTTTCATACTTAAGCAACATTAACATTTAATTACTGTTGTAAAGTATACAAAGAAGATATTATTTTGCTCTCTATGCTCGCAAAAAAAACTGAAATAATGAAAAATAAACAAACATTATTTAATTGTAGCTATAAGAAAATTATACTGTAATTGCTGAATCACTGAATTTTTGGGTTATCATCTGTTTAAAATAATAAAAAAGGCTATGAAATACTGTGTGTAATGAATGTATTTAATTTATAAGTTTAGTTTTTCTGACATGATTTGCAAAAAAAAAAAATGGTTAGTGTGGTTTCTATTGTCTGCACCCTTAGATAATATTTCTCCTAAATCTGTCACCCACGACTGACAAATGTGAATATCTTTACATCAAAAACACACCTTTGAGGTGAACAGTACACTACTACTAAGATGCTCCTGTGTTATGTGTGCATTACTGAGAGATTTGAGTCACTGACAGGCTTTAGGATTAGTTTGAGAACCCAAAATAAAACATGCCTCATGCTTTTAGCTGTCTTTTAAAGTGACATACCTTTTTTGTGCAATTTTTGGCCGTAAACAACAGCTATGGCCAGTTAATTCTGCTATACTTAACCCAGAAATTAAAGCAGTAGCTTGAGATATGCAAATAATAATGTGTGGTTATGAATCCATAGAAAACACACAAAAAAATGAACCCAAAGTCATCAGATGTCAAAGCTTAGCATCTTACAGTAGCTGTAAAGTATAGGAGTTTAACTGCAGTCAGATCAGTAATACATCAGTAATACATCAGTAATGAACATATGATGCTGGCACAGACACAATGAATAAGCTTTGGTAGCAGACCGTTTTGTTAAATTTAAAAGGGCCAGATCACTTTCTAAAATGATTATATCATTCAACCTGACAGCTGTCATCTTTGTTGTTTGCGGTGGCATAACAATGCGGTTGAACAGCAAGCTGGAATAATAGAACATAAGAGCAAAATGACCCAGAGCCGCGTAGTTGCTTGGGTTAATGTGGGTAAGAGGTTCTGACCAAAGCAAAACAACTGCAGTATTTCAGAGCGGTTCATTAAAATAGTTCCCTGGGTTAAATACTACACGGCCAAGCACACAAAGGAACCCATAAACAGACAGAACAAAGAAAATCTATTTAAGCCACTTAAATAGAATCACTAATTTAATTTGCATGCTTAACTTACCTTGAGGGATTCAAAAAGATTTTCTACAAAAAACAGCCTCCTTAGGGAATCAACAGCAGACAGAGCCAGAAAAATGGCTTTTTGCATGTAGAAGTCAGCCTGTTCTCCACTGAAACTGATGTCCATATCCAAGTATGACCTGATGGAAAACACACAATATGAAATCAACAAATTATATATATGTATCCTACATGTTTTAGATGTTTTACTTTAACAAGTTCTAAGAAAAAAGGTTTGTACATGCTAATTACATGTTCACAGTGGCTAAGCTAATTTAGCCATCTGAATCAGCTGTGTTATTAGAGACACATGAATTCATGTGTGTATAAATGTTAGATTCAATATAGGATTTAAGCAAAGTATAAATAAGGCATCATATGCTGCATGGATTACTGATCTATGCAGATTGTATACATATTCCTCCTTAACAAATATCTGAATTCTAACTTTAAAATTGCAACAAAAAATATATTAATAAAGAGAATATATTTTGCTTTCTTCCTTTGGCTGCATATATTATTGAGTGTCTTGTTGTTTTTCTTTTTACTTGGATGATAAATTGTCTTTATTAATAAGTAGAAACAACATGCCTGCTATTGTTGCCCTAAAGTTTTCCTGCAGCTAGTTTAAAAAATGAAAAGTCCTAAGCAGTCAAAAGTGACATTTTGAGGTGTATATTGTTTGTTAATAGGTCACAGTCCTGTGCGAAATAACTATGAATCAAAAAAGCAAGCATAAAGAGCCCAAACTGTATCAGGCCACATATTGGTGTTGAATTTAGAGACAATGGAAGTTTCAGCTTCTCTTTCAGGGCAACTCCATGCAATGCCTTTGACTGACTGGTTACGTGAAAGAGCATGGGCTTCCCTGCTGGGATTACTTGTGCTGTTGGCAATGAGGTCTCCTGAGGACAAGATACTGTTTTTTCTATTCAATAAATTCACCAGAGCCAGATCATTCACAGCAGAACAATTAAGGTCTCTGAAAGCCACCCTTTGTCTGAAACATCTAGTGGAACCACGATAACTCCTAAATCCATCTAAAAAAAGAACTTCAAGATCCTTTTTCACGTCTAAGTGAAATAGCTGCCATTTGTAACCACTCAGTAAGCTGCAGATGAGTATTTGCCAGCAGAGGCTTTAACATGAAGCTCTGAGCTCACAGAGCTGTTATTCTTTCTTGCTCTGCACACTGAGAGAAGTCATGAAAGAAAAATTGATGCGAATCAGAACAGTTTAAACAGCAACACAAAAATATCCTAATCTGACCACAACAGGATACATCTTCTAATGCTGGATTTTAAGCCATGATCTGCGATCATTATTGTTTAGGGACACTTAATTTTCCATCACTATTTTTGGTTCTTTAAAATAGTAGAAATTTCTTTTTATTTCTATAGAATATTTGCCTTTTGTGAATTCTACAACATAATGTTGCCCCATTTACACTACCCCTCTGAAACCGATCCGTGCCGAGTTCGGACCGAGCTTGGATTTGCACATCATGCTAGCACGGTGTCTTGCCTCCTGTCGGAGGTCCACGATAGTACAGCTCTCAAGGAATTATGCAAACAGAAATGGTGGAGCCCATAACATTCAGGAACTTATGTGCCTGGATAGCATCCTCCACCCAAATTTCAATGAGAGGCTTGGTCTCAGCATCAACCCAGGTCGCACCACACTCTTTTGATGCCATTTATTGTCAACAGCCTGAAAAGACGTTCATGTTGTGAACAGGTGAAGAGAGATCTGTGAAGAGAGAGTCAGCTGACTGTAAATAGGAGATGACGTGGTCTGTTCATGCACTCTTTGTTATCAGAGAACCCAGCTAAAACTGAACCGTAACAGACCCTACTGATGAACTAGTACTAGATCTAGCGCTGTTCGTTTGTGTCCAGTTCAGTTGAGTTCCACTTACACTCAACAGTTATCTCGGTTATCGTGGTAGGACCATTCTCTGCACGCTTTCCAAAGGGTAGTTTGTCCCAATTTAAAGCTGAACTGTTTATTTCTACTTTTACTATTGAAGTGAAATACAGTATGAGAGGAGCTTGCTGGGTTTTGTTTCCTGTTGATAAATTAGGGTTGAAGCACCAAGGCTTAATTTATTTTATTTTCAAATCATACAAAATCATCTGGAAATGAAATATAATATTAAAATACATTTTTAATTGTTAGGTTTTTTTTACTACAGATTTCTAATTATTTATTACAATAGTCTAAGATTCTAATTGATATTTTGAATATTGAAGTAAACATAGAGAAACTTAAATTGCCTAAAACCAACAGAAGTTCAAGTTACAATCACCTGTAAAAAAAAAAAACAATAAACAAGCTTCGATCCCTTAATAGAACAAAATCATCTTACTTGAAGGGATGTTCTCCGTCCCCCCAGCTGAGGATATAGAGCAACTGGTAGTAGATGCGCACTGAGATGGTGAAACACATGACTGCCACTGAGACTGTGGAGACCACAGTGATGATGCTGAGCTGGAACAAGGAAAGTAAGCCCACCACCAAGGCTGTGAGCACCATGCCACTTCTTTCTGTGTCCTTCCAGTAGATTAGGTCCATCACTGACAGAGATGAAGAATAAAAAGTCAATTAAATGAAAAAAAAGTTAAAAAAGGATAAATTTAAAGATAAAAAAGGTGCAGCTCTTAAAATAAATACAAGCCAACATTTCTGCTTAAATCTCATAATTTGCACCGTTTTGAAATACAGGGGCTAGACAAAAGACCAAACCTCTGAAGCTTTAAAATTTGTACTATCATGTGATGCTTGGTTCTTTATTTTAAAGTAAGCACCATGAAACTGAACCCGGAGTAAATTTATTGACAAAATAAAAGGGTTAAAGACATAAGGAAAAAAAAAAAAGGATTTCTAATCTCAAGCCCGATGGGACACAACAGCTACAGGCTGAATTTAGCCCTCAGAAAAAAGAAAAAAAAAGCCAGGGGTTCAGGAGAATGAAAATTCCCAGCACCTGTTGTCCGACGTCAGGCCGTCTGCAGCCATTAATCTACACTCTGTTGGTTTCCCTTATTGTCTCTCAGCTTACAGGGACACACAGCTTTGCTATATATAAAATATCCCAAATCTACCCTCCCCCCTCTAATGTTTCTGCTTATTTTAGGCTTTATATAAAATGTTAAAATCCTAAACAAAACTGGGTAATTCTTAAGGATTTGAAGCTTGGATCTCTCTAACTGCTTGAGGCACTTCCACCCATCTACAGTACCTCATAGAGGCCTCAGACAAATGACCTTGTTTGAATTTCTCACATAATGATATAAAAAGCTAAGCTTTCTGAATAGAATGCCAGGAAAACTCTTTAAATAAATTACCTTAACCGTTTGTGGGTTGCTTACAGTACACACTACATTCCCACAACTTCAATAGAACTTTCTGAGAGGGAAATACTCAAACCTTTTTACTAATGTAGCTGCAATTTCAGATAATGTAGCATGTAAAACAGCATTAAAAAGTGGGTAATTTTGTAAATAAAAACAAAATAAAAATAGCATAAAAGTACAATAACTAAATATATGAATACTGCAGCAAACCTTTAGACCAACCATAACATTTCTTTAGCTGTTGGTCACTTTACATCTTCATCATCATTTAATATTTTGAAGCCTGGGTTTATTCTGTACCAAAAGTTTTCTGCCATAAAATGGAGCTACAAGTCCAAGAATAATTTATACTGACAATACACCAATTAAGATCTTCTTATGAACCTGTTTTAATGACTTTAAACCAATGTTCTATTCTCTACTAAGACTCCACTGCTAGGCAATGTGATTATATGATGTTTTAGTTGACTGGCCCACATGGGGTCAGAGGTGAACCTGAACCAGAGGGGGTATGTTACAACCTGTACAGCTGGGACCCCAGCCTTCCTGTCAACTTTGCAATCTTTACTCAACTATTTACTTCAGACTTCTTTGCAACTAACTGCATTCTCTATGATGCTGCATGTATATTGCTTTTAGCTTTTCAGCATTTTTTTGTGTGGTTGGAATAATTGTTTTAATATGAAAAGCTTATATAAAAAAGCTTTACCAACATCCAGTTGAAATAGACAATTTAAATTTATAAAGGACTTGACAGTGGGAAGATTATTCAAAGTGTTTACATGTAGAAGAAATAAGAAAAAGGAACATAATAGGAAACTAAATCATTCATCACAGAAAATAATTAAAACAAATAAGATAAAAGACTGATAAGAAAATGTAAAGTTGGACTGTAAACTTAACAAATGATGTTTAGAAACCACAGTTAAAGCCCACAATAAATAAATATATATATATATATATATATTTTTTTTTATCTCGATTTAATACAACATAGGATTTCAGCCCTTTAAAGGTTTGGTCCAGATAAGTGGAGCATAAGAACCAGAAGCCTCTTCTCCATGTTTGGTTCTAGTTCAAGTATAGATAGTCTTGAGCCAGAAGACCTGCGGGAAAAAGCAGGTCTGTAATTTGAAAAGCCATTCAATGATTTATAGACTAGAAGTATTTTAAAGTCTATTCTCTGAGATGCGGGTAGCCAGTGTAAGGATTTCAGAACTGTGGTGATGAGCTCCACTTTCTTAGGTTTATCGGGAAGCGTGCAGCAGCATTATGGATCATCTACAGCTGCCTTTTTGACTTTTTAGGCAGATATCTGAAGACAGATTAAATATTTCATTCTACTAAAGATAATCATGTCAATTTGTGTTTCAAAGTATCGCGGAAAGATTAGTCCTTTAATCCTAAAGATGTTCTTTATGTGATGGATGGCTGACTCAGGTCTGAGTCAATCACCACACCCAGATTTAGAGCCTGATTGATGGTTTCTAGCTCTATCAATTGAAGCTATGTTACTGTAACTGAACATGCTCATCTTTGAACACATTCCCTTTGATCCAAAAAATATTACCTTAGTTTTGTTTTGGTTCTCACCCAGTGCTTAAATAGAGTCACCTGGTGTCATTGTAATGTACAGCTATGCATCCTTTGCAAAGTTATAGTAACTTATGTGGTTATTAATATAATCCAATAGGATACAATATACAACTTCTTGATATGATTTACTTCTAATTAACTACATTTACTTTTGATCAATGTTCCAGTAACACTAAAAAAAAAAACGCACCTGCTTGAAAACAGGGATACAACAGCCAGTAAAACCCAGATTGGGATAAACTGAAAAATGGAGAAAAGGAAAATAATGGACAATTAACAATTTGGAAAGACCAACAAAGCTCTTTCTAAGGTTTTGGAAAAACCGGAACACCACAGGGAAAGCCATTATCCATAAATGTAGACAACATGGAACCATCCTTGGACTAACTACTGATCAGAAATAGTAAAAATGCACATCCATAACTCCTTCTGGATGTTACAAAAGAACCCAGAACAACATTCTAAGTGCTGTAGATCTAACTGGCCAAATAAGTGTTCAGAATTCAGGAATAAGAAAGATGCAGGAAGAAAAGAACATCAATGAGGCAGGTTCAAATTCAAAACCAGTGCTGATTAAAAGAAAAGGTTTGTTCTTCATTTCTAAAAAATACATGTTAATTACTGATAGAGTCAGGAGTTCTACACCCTAACAGAAGTCCAGTAGGAGTCAGTCAAACCATCAATCAGTGAACTAAATACTCACTTTGGTAATGCAGATGGTCAATCATCCTTAGTCACCTTTTTTTTTTTATTACTCCCAAATAAAGGTGTTTAAGAGGGCGGAGAGTTTACTTAGGCCTGATTAGGGTGCTGGATGGATATGTGTTTTCCATTAAATAAATCAAATAATTCACCTGTGTAAATAAAATTGACAGTTTTCAAGTAATTGTGATATCAATGTATCATAATGAGCACTTATTACAGAAATAAGGTATTTTTCATTGGACAAACAAAGCTCTTTACAACCCATATTCCAATTAGCTGTAAATGAATTAATAAATATAACTATGTTTTGGTTTCTGCTGGCCTAAAGAGGGCATATAAAGAAAATTAGGCAATCCCAAATATTGATGTAAGTCTTTTGATTTTGAGCAATAATAAAGTCTTTAATTTTTATCAACAAATATAAAGGGTGAGATCAACCCAAACAAAGGATCGAGACAAATCTAAAAAACTACAGTAAATTATTCTTATTAATTAATTTATATACATCCAACAGTTATGCAGGTTTTTCTAATGAAACAGGAAGCTTATCTTTTTCTTTAGTAACATTCATCAATCAATAAATATAAAGTGTATAAACTAAAATTAACATGCATGAAAGACTTTTTAAGGTTTAAGGAGGCTTCTTTTAATTAAATTAGAAAAGCACCGATTCATTCGTTCAAACCCAAAAGTAATGATACCACAATCCCAGAAAATGTTTGAATACAGACTGAAATGTCAGTCCACATACCAGCTGTTCAGCCTAAAATGGGAAAACGGGCCTTGCAATGGGACAGCTGTCTAATAACCTAACAGCACCATTGAACTAATTTAAAGGCGGAACCTTAATTGAATTAAAGCCACTGATACAGATACCATCCAATTACACAGAGCAGCTCATCGTTCTAAAGTCAAACACATATGCAAACGTTTCTGATCTGAGGACGCTGAGAAAGCTAAATTTGTCATTAAACAGCGTGACGCTTTGTTCCACAACACTGTAGTGACAAAGCTGAGGAGGAGTGTGTGGGTTAAGATTAAAAGCTTTTTCACCTCTTGGCAATCAACTGTCAAGTTGTTTTATATCAATTTAAATAAACACATAACATTTCTCCTTATTTAAGTAAACAATTACCCCACTGCCTTTTTAACTACACAGGCATAAAATAATTGCATCTCTTTAAAACGCCTCACCTTTACTGGCCATGTTTGGTTGCTGTTCCAGTGCCCCGCTCTATCCGAACCCCTTCTGCCCCTTTCTGTCTCCCCTGCTAAACTACTCCCCTTACCTCCCTGAGCTGTTTTTGGCCACCCAATGCTCACTCAGCAGTAAAGGCTGAACAGCCTAAAATAATCTGCTTGTTCACAGCACCACCCACCACTAGTCACAGCTAGAGCATGCATAAAAAGTCACTATTAAACTTTATATCACTATATAAGTGATATATAAGTCACTATATAAACTTAACATATATCTACATATATCTCTATATATATCTCTATATATAGATATATGTATATAAATATCTATCTATCTATCTATCTATCTATCTATCTATCTATCTATCTATCTATCTATCTATCTATCTATCTATCTATATATATATATATAGATTATATATATATATAGATTTGTAGTTAACATTGCTTTTGACAGTATGCTTGATTTTGTCGTTATGTGAAAAGTGCCTAAGATTTAACTTTACTGAAACTTTAACAGGAAGGAGACCACCCCCCCAAAACTCGTTCAACATAAAATAGTAATGTTAACCTTTTTAAATAATTATTTTTTTCCTCTTTTTTTTTCTTGATAAAGTCAGGGTGTGATGTAACTTTTAATCAACTTGTGAACCTTGTTACTAATTGTGTAAGAGACCAGGAAATTATGGTATCTGAACGATGACAAACTGCCTATGTCTATGTCGATGAAAATGGTTCTGAATGATTTCTATTTACTTTTTTTTTTCCAAAGACTGATTAAACATGAATTTAAAGACAGCTCCAGAATTACTGCATACAAGGTTATGACTCCTTTAAATGACACTAGGATTTCACATACATGTACAGAAAAACACTGAATTTGCTCACAACAAACACTGCAGCTGTACATGTAACAAAGCAGAGCATAACCATGTGAAGAAACAGTAAATAGTCACTGTTAGGTTTGGTTGAGGATCTGAGCAGGTAGACAACATTGGATTCTATCTTTTTAACTGAGTAAATGTAATTAATAAATAATTGGGGGGTGGTGGCGTATTAGTTAGAGCAGGGTGCTTGCATCCCGAGACTGCTGCAAGTGTTACTGTTTGAATCAGACAGACTGCCACTCTTGTTCCCTGAGCAAGATTATTGGCCACAGAATCCCTCTTGTCTGCTGAACAAGAACGATTTTCTACCAATCAGTTTCTGGTGGTCATTGTGCCCAACATAAATTAAGATATGTTGATGGTAAGTAAGCAATGTCATTTAAAGGACATTTCTCTAGTGAATAATCTACACGTGGTCTCTATATCTAAGACTAGCCAAATACTATTATTGGCCAGACAAGACAATATCAAGTAGGCCCTTCAGCCCTACTTCATCCACCTAAATAAGACATGGCTCCTGTCTGACTACTGCACTGGTCCACTTGAAAGCCCGTCAAGCATAATGACTGAATCTTATCTCTAATGATACCCTTCCATGCACTACTCACTCAAAAAACAGCCAACTAACTCCAACAAGTCTTCCAGAGAAACAGTACCCAAACAAACACTCGTCCCACCTTCTGTAAGACGTACAACAAACACTGATAACAGCTTTGGTGGTCTGCATGTCTGAAAAAGTCAGCCAAAGCCTGGAATGTTTTCCTTACAATTCGACCATCATTCCTGAAACCCAGAGAGAGTTGGTTACTATGGAGACAATGAATGGCCTGGACTTCTGCTGGTCTGTCTTTGCCTGCCTGTGCCTATATGTTACAGGAAATCTTATTTCTCATTTAAGCATTGGTTTATGAGTTGTCGGTCTCAGCAAAAGCAGTCAAAAACAGAGAAGGTGCGTAAAGGAAGAGGAAAACTAGACTAGGATATGAATAGAAGCCAATAAAACTGAAAGATGTAATCTTATACCTGCTATGCGGATGCTCACAGTCAGATCTTCTGTTAGGTACGGTGCTGAAAACCAGTGATCTCTGACCAGCTGTTCCTGAGAGTTAACGCCTACAGATGCCAGAGATGAGCATGCTGGGTCTGTGGGTCTCACAGATGTGAGCAGCTTGACTGAAATGGTTTCCAAGGTGACAGGAGACTCAGGCTGCAAGGTTGGTGAATCCTCTGCAGCTGGGAAACAGAGGATGATGTTACCATGGTGATAAAAAAATAAAATACAGACATAATTTAAAAAAAATAAATAAATAAAGTAAAATAAAATAAAACTTAGATATTTCAGGACCATTTACTATAATAGCTTTTTTTCTTTTTGGAGATCAGCAAGAAGAAACTGAAAAATCGGATGATGGATTTAATACTCTATAATGTACGCTCACAGGATAACTCATTACATAGACTCTTCAAATGAGTTTTAGAACATGTGTAACATGACACCAGCTGAACGCCTTGAGACATCCTCAAGAATTGCTGAGGTTAAAAGCAGGCAGCAAAATTAGACAGAAAGGAGATTTAGGACACTTTAAGGTGGCAGTATTTGATCAACCTCTGATCTATTGTAATCTCAATGCAATAAACCTATTTAGGTTTTACTAAGGGATGCTAAATAAGGAAAATATCCGGTGAGCAGTGGTTCTGTGTAAGCAATACCCCATTGAGGTCATATGAGAATAGACAGATTGATTCAAGATGATAGAAACCATCAGCACTGACCACCCATTAAAAACACGCTACACTCACTTAAATAGTAAGACATCAAAGGTTAAAGATGAGCTACAGCAGCAGAAGACAACACTAAGGTTACAATTCACACATGCTCATCAAATTAGACAATAACAATTTGAAAAACTTTTACAATAATTATATAAAATGATCATTAAATTTGAAGTGAACAACTGTAAAGCACTGATTCAACTGTTGCATTAACAGTTTACTGGTTTGGTACGAATGTAATGGTGAGGTAAATTTTTGGTATTTTTGTTGTTGAGATTTGCTGATATTCCACAGCATGGTAGATTATTGTTTTTGTAGAAATTCATACCCTTATAACCACAGATTAACAATCTTCTCATAGCTACTTGGAGCAGGTTAACACACCATCATGGAACAAAAACACCTTTAATATATACATTTTTTTGCATGGTTCCTTAACAAGGTCGTCAAACGCCAATAGATTGCACGGTCGGTCACCCAATTTTCTATACAACAGAACACCTTTGGGATGAGTGGAGATTTGTAATAATCAACATCTCTGAGAAATGTTTTTAATGGTAAAGGGGCCGAATCTCATAGACTCATGATGCATCTAATTCAATGTCCAGTGAGTGTTTTGGTTATGTTTAGGATGAGGACAATTCAATTCTTGTGAAGGTCTCTGGATTCTGGGTTGACTCAGCAATGGTGTTTGATGTTATATTCTGCTTGTCTGAGCCACATGGAATAAAGGACCCCTCAAAGAAGAAGGTCATCATGTGCCAGACTTTATAATTAGCTCTGAGCACATGAAGCTTTGATACAAATTGCTGAAGACAGCAGGGATGAGCTGCAAATGGCCAGTGCCAGGGGGAAAAATATACAACATTATGAAAGCAGAACCTGTTTTTTTTTATTTTTATTTTTTTATCCCTTATAGTTCCAATGAAAACGAAAGAAAATTACTATAATATCCAGTTATTTCTTTCAAGGATTCAAAGCTAAACTTTGTAAATGATTTAAGCATTTAAGGAAGAAAAATATGTGTACTGTATCTGTCTACTGTATCTCTTACCCAGAGTTGTCTGTGAGGGATTGTGTTGTTGAGATGAATGGATCTCAGAAGAAGTTTGGCCAGTCTGGCTTTCACTGTCCTCTTGCCCATCTCCTGTGTCTGTCCTTTGGCTTTCAGAGTCTACAGTTTCGGGGGAGGGTTGCACTCTAATAGAGTCTCCTTGTTCCCTTTCCCTTCTTCTACCAGGGTTTGCTGTCCTTGGTTCTGCTAGGTCCAAGGCTCCATTCCCTGATGTTTCCTCGTCTTCATCTTGATTGAAAAAAGCCTGTGTCTCCCAGTCTACATCAGTGGAGTCCAACAGCATTTCCAATGTGTCAGTTCGAATCAAAGGAGTGCGACCCACCCGAGGGACAGCCCTGCGCCGCTCACGATAGTGCCGTGAGCTCCCAACTGCTTCAGCCTCTGCGATGGCAATGTAAGAGAAGGTCAGCTCGAAGGAATGCTGGCGAGGGGTTCCCCAGATGGATGGAGATGAAGCGTGTCCTTCATCATCATCATCATTTGGATCTCCTGCCTCCTCCACTTCATCATCATCAGACCATTCTCTGGCTGTCTGCAGGTCGCACATCTCCGACTCCTCGTTGCCACCTGGATAGAAATCAAGACGGGCAATCATCCATTTGGAAGGCTAAGGATGTCGATGTTCATTAAACATTAAATGAAGCAATTTTTTCCTGACAGGAAGGAAGGAAGGAAGGAAGGAAGGAAGGAAGGAAGGAAGGAAGGAAGGTGCTTCTTACCATCGGTGCATGGAGGTGTTGAGTCTGGAGTGGATGCCACAGAGCCATATTCCTCTGGAGGAAAACAGATATATATATATATATATATATATATATATATATATATAAAACAAACAAAGAAAAGACGAGCAACATAAACACATAAGAATCCAAGAAGTAGAACTATCGTTCTCTCCTTGGTTAAGAAACACTAAAGCTGATATAAAATATCAGAATCAGGAACACAGTGTGTTCATCAGTCCTAAGTGCATACTGTAGGTCATTGAATATTGAATGGTTCTGGCAGTAAAAGTAAAAGGCTTGTTTTATATTAGATTGCCAGTATGACACCAGTGTATAAATCAACCAGGCAGCCATTGCACTAAATGCAGCATATTCTGTTCAGCAGTTGCATGAACACAGGCAAATGTTGGACCACTGGGATGTAGCTCTGACAGAGTGCACACAAATCCAAAGCACAACAGAAGCATTCAGGGATGAATGATTAACAAATAAAAAGGCTCACTGCAAACCCGCTGAGGCATGATAGCAAAAAAAGTATGCATCGGAACTGCAGTTATACATTTACTGGTAATCTAAGGGAAAAGCAGGAGAGAGGAGGAGAGGCTGAGCTAACACATACGATGATGCAGAGGTGGGCAGTGCAGATCTGAGCAATGGACTGCTGTAATTCAATATCCACAATGTAAGAGTCCACAAAACACACAAAAAAATAAACTTACGACAGTGGGAGAATCCTAAAACCTGGCCCATACTCCATCAAGACATTGCTGGGCCCATCCAGTCTGGAAGCCCCCCCTCCCTCATCTATAGCCGACACTCACTCGATTCCCTCTGCTCCTCTGTCCTGTAAAAGCAGCTTCCTCCCTCTTCTACTGGTTACTCAGCAACCCCGCCCTGCCTCACTCCACCATCCTCCCCTCTGCTGCCTTCACTCTTCCCTTTTTCCATCATTGTGACTGGAGCTGTAGGAGAATACGCTACTGAGGAGGGAGAGGAGGACAAGCATCTGTATTTCATCTTTCCATTCACAGCCAGTCTATGCCTATCTGTTTCTAAACACGTGGTTTCAGCTTTAGGAGCAGGAGACAGGGAGGAGACAGGGAGGGATAAATAATTAATAATGCATCACACAGATAATATTGAACTTTTCAGCGTTTTACAAACGAAACTAGCATGTAAAATGTGATTTAAATTGCTAGACATCTATATTAAGATATGCATATGCAATATATGTTTAAACAAACAAAGCATAATTGCAAAAATTCATTAGCAACACCGTCAAGTAGGGGGCGGTGAAGTGCCCTGCTTAAAGGGAATGGAAAATGCTTGAAAAATGTGTTAATGAAATGGAATTTCAAAATTTGAAACTCTTGCAGCAGGATAAATTATTTACAGACAATACTATTGAATCTCATACAGTTCGACTGATAATGATAAATCAGTTTATTTCAGCAAACCCTGAAGTCAGTCACATTTTAAGTGTTTAATTTTTTTATTTTGATTATTATAACTCCCTAATAAAAATCCAAAACGTTTCTTTCCTAAGTAATTTGAATATTAAGAAATATAAAAATATATTTTGAAAACAAAAACATTATTTTGACAGACCACACAATCATGGGATGGACTGCTGACTGGGTTGTGCAGCAGGGAGGCTGAGAGATCAATACTAAGAAGCTAGTTGTTTACAGAGCACTGCATTCAAGCATTTTAATTAAAAGTTGGGATTGGAAAAAAGCAAAGTTGTAAAAACAACAGGGATGAATCCATCCAATCATTTCTAAACAAGAAATAACTTTTTCCCCCCCGTGTTTCCCAAAGTTTCTGAGAAATGAAACTTTTTTTAATGACTTATAAGCCATAATCATCTAAATAAATTAAATTAATTATCAGACAGTATAGCAACATAGTGTAAATATTATTACCTTGTGCGTGTTTAGCTCAGGTAAGCAAACAGGAATAATGTGATGACCTGTAGGCAGAGATCAGGGTAAGTTGATAAAAGGTTTAATTGTATTTATAGCTGGACAAGAACAGTGTCACAGAAAGTTCTTAACAACACTTAACCAGGGCAGGTACTACAAATAAACAAAAGAGGAAAAAAGAAAGTAAATGAGACCATTCAAATTTTTCAGACTGTTTCATTAAATTTCCATAGGATTTTAGGGATGCACTGCATGTTGCAAATGTATCTTTATCACTGTATCACTGTTTGCAATGCAAATTCACCAAGAACTGTCTGCAATATATTAAATGACCATCCAAGAATTCAGGCTCATTTGAAACCATAGAATAGTTTCAAATGAACAAATTTAAAGAGGTGGTCAAGTTATTAGGATTTTACAAATAAATTGTAACAACCAACCCTGGCCAGAATTAAATTTCAAATAAAATCTGACCATTGTGAAGGAAATAAGGCATTTTATGCTTTTTATTCCAGTAGCTAGATAGCCTTCTCATTATCTGGGTTGTGTTTACTATGAACCTAATCCAGAAATACTTTTTAAATATTTACTGCATATCATTACTATAACATTCATAAATACTATTGCACTTTCCCTGTTTTTATAAGGTTATTGCTCTAAATCTTTGTACCTTCTGTAACATCATGTAGGAACATCCCTATTCCATATAACAATTTATGGTATTTGATGATAATTTGTACTGCTCCTCTTTTCTGCCACATTTGTTTGGATCCCCTGGAAACAAAAATCTATCCATCTATCCATTCATCCATGTTTAATTCCATTAAAAAATAGTTAATTGATCCCAAAGAAAAGTAACTATTGTAACTCTTAAAGGGGTTTCTTCAATGAGTTGTTGGTGTTACTAGCTATAGGGACAGGTTGTTATTCCACAATTTGACCAGATGGTTGCTTGTTTCGGTGAGGCAACAGAAGTCTGTCTAGGACCTTATGATGTGGGACGTCAGGGCCACCGGTTTATAGTCACTGAGGACTAATGCTTTCCTGCTTGCTCTCATCTTGACTTGAAGTTGCCTCTACAAAGTCCTAAATCACAAATTTAAATGTTTAAAAAGAAAATCATTCATTTGTCATAAAAACTTAGAAAGGTAGCTGTTAAGAATGCTCGGGCTTTGAGTTTTTAAGTAAATGCCAGAGTGCAACCAGGGTGACCCCACTGCGGCTCCAGCTGCACAAGAAGGTGCTACAGACAAAAAAAGTTAATATGAGTTCACACTTTTTGGGCAATTCTCATTGTTATTGTCCATAAATATTCCATTTCATCATCAGCATCAATTCTGTTTTTCTTATACCATCTTGTTTTTGCTAGTCAAGTTACCATAGATTGGTGGGTTAATTTAATTCTGAAATTAAACAGGACTTTTTTTCTATCTGGCTCCTTGCTTCTCCTGTTTGACTTGTGAAATTCAGGAACTTGTTACAAACACCGCTGCGGAGTCAGGGCAAACTTTCTTCTTGCGAAAATACTTTTTTGAGCACAGAGCCTCTGTAACTGCACGTTGGTTTTAATGATTTGGTTTACTTGCAGCTTCAAGTCAGCCACAAGTCAGTTAGTCACTCAGTGAGTGCATTAAAAAACAGAGCCTTCATTTGTTAGAGAAAGTGAGAAAATATTTTCAGCAGTAATTTAACATGTATAAAAGCATAAATATTCTAGGTAATGCAAAAAAAGATAAAACAGAATATTTAGGCAGCACTTTTGTGAAGTGATAATGGGATTCAGTTGCATTGCGTAAAATGTCCTCTTAATAATCCTCGGCATGTGTAAAGACACAGGTTATCTGTTTGTGCCTTGCTGAGCCGGTGATTACCAAGCAGAGTTACTGACGAAAGAAAGCAGGGTGAGGTGTGAGAAACTGGGAGGGGCAAGAGAATAGGAATGTCTAAACAGATTAACTAAGAGAGCAGTAATCGGCAGAGCAAGGAAGAGAGAGGAGTAGGAGGAAAGCGAGGCAGGGGAAACTCCTGGCTGAGACATATACTGAAGGATTTGGGAATTCTACTTTAAAAGCTGAATTCATATTTGTTTTTAGTGCTTTTGATTTTGTATCAAATAGAACCTCAGAAGGCATCAACAGTTGTTTACCTGATAGGGCTGGCACAGCTTAAACTGTTGCCCTGGACCTGTTGAGGAAAACACATCGCCAGAGGAGGGGCTCCAGAAGGAGACGGGCCACCAGCAGATCAAGCAGGAAGCTTGAGCAAAGGCTTTGTGGCGTAATGAGGACTGCCAGGCGTGCCAGCAATGTGGAGGTGCCATCCTTTCTACGGCAGTTGGCCAAAGAAACTGAGAGGATAGTTACATTCTTCTTCAAAGGGGGGGCCAGGGAAAGGGGATGTGAGGAGGAAGACAATTTAGATGAAGAGGATGCAATGCCAAGCCCCTACCTGGATCGACCTATATTGGAGAAACATGTTGCAGAAGGGGAGTCTCATTCGGGGTTGAACTATGCTGTTGCAAGCATGCAGGGCTGGAGAGCTCAGATGGAGGACGCCCACACCTGTATGCCCCAGCTGAAGGGAGAACTGGAAGACTGGGCCTACTTTGCTGTTTTTGATGGACATGCAGGCCTTACAGTGGCCCAGTATTGCTCCAGAAACCTTCTGGATCACATCCTGACAACAGGTACACTACGAATGTTGATGATAAAGTTTCAAAGGGACAAGATATTTATAAGAAACAATAAAACTGGTTAGGGGTCATTGATAAGCACCTATGATAGATAGAAAAACAAAAACAAGAACATGTCTAAGGCCCTCCATGAGTAAGTACATCTCAATCTAAGAGACTCCTATAATAACTCCCAGCATCACGGGTCGTCCACTATATCTTATAAAGAGTCAAAAGTGCTTCACAATAAGTGTCTGTTAAAAAAATAAAACAACAGCCTGAACAGCATTTTCTGGAAAAATAGCACGTTGTGGGGACCGACTGCTCCTTACTGCTGTTTAGGTTAAGGGGTCATGTTTAGGACTAATGTTGTGAATTTATTTAGGATGGGATTAGGTATGAATCAGTAATTGTTACAGTAAGGGTTACAGTTAGGCTCTAGAAAGGAATGGAAGTCAATGGAAAGGCCCTGCAAAAATAGTGAGACAATTTTGTGGGTGTGTGTGTGTTCTATGTGTACATGATGCTAAAATATTGTCTTTAACAGGTGGGATCAAAGCAAATGAAGACCCAGAACAGGTAAAGGATGGAATCCGTGAAGGATTCCTGGACATTGATCGCCACATGCACAAAATGGCTCGCCAAGACAGCTGGGACAGAAGCGGCTCAACCGCAGCAGCTGTCATGATTTCTCCACGTTTTATTTACTTTATCAACTGCGGTGACTCCCGCACCTTCCTCTGCCACAACGGGCAGGTGGTCTTCTACACAGAGGACCACAAGCCGTTCAACCCAAGGGAAAAGGAGAGGATCCAGAACGCCGGAGGCTCAGTGACCCTGCAGAGGATTAATGGCTCCCTAGCAGTTTCCAGAGCACTGGGAGACTTTGACTTCAAGGAGGTTGACTGGCGACCACAGACAGAGCAACTGGTGTCACCAGAGCCGGAAGTGTACGAACTGGAAAGAACACCTGAAGATGAGTTCCTAATTCTGGCATGTGACGGCGTGTGGGACGCCATTGGTAACGAGGAACTGTGCGCATTTGTCCGCAACCGCCTCCAGGTGTGCGATGACCTGAGAGATATATGTGCCCAAGTCATTGATCTCTGCCTCTATAAGGTGAGACATAACAGTATTTAACACTAAAACCTCAGAATAACAATGTCTAATTTTTTATGAAGATGTAGATTGTTTATTTCAGTAAGCAGCTTCTAAAGAGTACACTAAACTATGAAGGGAGGGCAAACCTACAAAATCCCTTGGAATAAATGTGGCAAAAAAAGATATAAAAAAAAAAAGACCTGTTGAAAAATGACAGCAAATTAAATCATTCAATTAATATCAAAATTGGTCAATTTTAGCAGCAGACACTCGACTAGCAGTGCAAACATACAAATAAATCTTCAGGTGTCATTTTTTAATATGACAGATCCCCAAAATTTGTGATCAATGAATACATTAACCAGTAACATGCACTACCACTCATTTTTGGAATCTAACAAAATCAAAACAAGGTCTTTTGATTTTATGTTTCAACAATTCCTCTGTTTTATGTTGGATTATAAGATATATTCCCAGTTAAACAGCCTGTAGCTGTTTGTAGTTTGTTTTTGTTGTTTTGTTTTTGTTGTTTTTTGTTTTTTACACTCGTGATAATCAAAAATACAAAAACATATAAAAAAAATAAAAGATATGAGCTGGAAAAATACAGATTTGTACATTTAATCTATAAAAGAAAGTAGTAAATGGAAAAAGTTACTTTCCAGAATTTCATACTTAATATCCAATCCAACGACACTGACAGATTTGTGTCTGAGTTTTTTGTCTAGTAGTTTTCTTACATTGAAGAAATAAAATCATTTTAACAATTAATGCAAAAACTAAATAATGATTTAACTTGTCTTTATTAATACCAGTCCAACATAGTAATAAAGATAATCGAAACAAGCAAGCATACAGTGAAGCATGTTTGTATCAATATTCTGTTGTAAGCAGACCATAGCTTGTAGTTGTAATTTCATCCCCATTGATTTTTTTGATATTAGGCAATGATTACATGAGAAAAGGCATCTCTAGTAGATGTTAATTTAATTATTTTATGTTTCTTCTAAAAGCCTTAATGCAATTTAGAATTCATGGCATAACTTTTAAAATGTGCGTCACATCATAAACATCTTATGCACCAACGTCTGCAGAAGCTTTGTAGATGAGCTGCTTCTGGAATTTCAACAGGTTCTCAGTGGTGTTTACAGTCTCAGTGCAACAGCGGGAGGATTTATGAATCAGTAGCTTTACATTTGGTGTGCTGTGCAGGTTCTCAGTGACGTAGCTTCATGTTACATAAGTGGATTCTACTCTTGGTTTTAGAAACTGCCAATCAAAATACAGATTAGCCTTTTGCCTGGCCTATACATAGGTGCACTGAGAGATCCTTAGGTGTTAGGTCGTAACACGCAAATCTGCACATGGCTGGGATTATAGATGAATGTGAGCGAGTTGGTAGTGCTTAGCAGAATACTGGAAGATGCAACCCTTCTAAGTTTTCATCCTGTCCACTGTGGGAGGCTATTCATTTGACCTAAAAAGTCTCAGGGTATGAGAAATACTACCTGTTCCATTACATTCTGACCTTCAGTGCTGATTTCTCTGGAGTTTTAACACAACAGGGTTGCCACTAGCATTTCACAAATGCTACAGATGGCTGTAGCCATTTTGCATTACCAATGAGATTGTATATTATTACTAAATAATCCCAAATCTGAAAATGCAAAAGTTGGCAATTTAGCCAAAAAAAAGGTATAAAAAAGGTTCTTTTAGGTAAAAAGGTAAAAAAGGTTCTTTTTCTGGGTCGATCAACAAAATAAGGTCCTAGTAATTGTCGATCATTCTGTTGATATGTTCACGTAAGGCTGTCCTACGTGCTCGTCCACATTTTCACTTATGGTGGTGAGTCTGACATAGTGGAAAAATTGCAAATCTTCTTTTGGAAAGTAAGCTTGTATGAGTGATGCAAACAGCAACTTTTAAACAAAACGTACACGAGGAGAAATGGGCTCTCGCACAAGTTTAATAGACGTTTCCTATCGGGAGCGGGTACAGAGTTGTGCTCGTGCATTTTTTTTAAGTGGAGAGGGCAGGACTTTTCAAAAAATTCTTGAAGATCCTCCACAATACCTTTAACTAAAAATTTCAAATCTGACAACTACTTATGTTTAGGTTATGATCCATTATTTTACCCCATTAATATATGCAAATTGGAGCTACCATACAACATTTATATAATCAAAAATCTACTATTGCAAACACCTGATTAAAAGATGTTTTAAGCTACTTAGCAGTGATTGCTTGTTGCTTGCTTATTTTCTTTTAAGCTCATCGCTGTTAAATTATGACCATTGTTAAGTCTTGATTATATGATTTTGATCCTTCATAACTCTTAACATGGCAAAAAAAGCGTCTCATTATTCAAGTCACATGTACACAGTTGATTAAAGATAAGAAATCTGTAGGTATGTTACAAAGAAAAAATTCAGAACATAGTTTGTCTCATACAGTACTGTACATTTGTTCCCACTCTGTGATCATTGGCTAAAACTATAAAACAATTAAATACTTAAAAAAAAAAAATCTTCAAAACAGAAATACCTGATTTACAGGTATCTCTTCTTTTAGATGCATCTGTGTCATTTCTTGTAGGCAACACATTTTCTGGCTCAATAAAAAATCCATCTACTTCTTCAATTCCCCAAAAATAGTAAAAGTTCTCTTCCACCCTCTGCAGGGCAGCTTGGACAACATCAGCATCATCATCGTATGCTTCCCTGGCTCCCCCCACGTGTCACAGGAGGCACTGCAGCGAGAGGCAGAGCTGGAGCAGCACATTGACATGAAAGTGGAAGGTGATTGGCTGTGCACAAAGTTACTCTCACTTTCTGTCAGACTACTGTTAACGTCAAGGCTTTTTCAAGATTAATTTTTACCTCTATAGAAATCATCCAGATGATGCGGTCTAAGGAGGAAGACCCGGACCTTCTGTATGTGATCAAATTCTTGGCTGCAGAGGAGATACCAGGGCTCCCACCAGGAGGGGGCATCACCAGCAAGTGAGTTAAATGAAATCCTGATTAATATTACATAATGAAAAGCATTATTATGACTTCACCATCATTGTGTCTGTGTGCAGGAGAGACTGTATCATAGCAGCTTACCAGAAACACGTCATGAATCACAGGACTCAGGAACCTATGGTGAGACATATGACGTTTGCATTTTAAAAAGCTAGTAGCCTTTGGAAAATTTTTTACAGCTTTAAAAAATATCAAGCATTTTGTCCTGTCAATATAAAAAATAATTATCAGCGGATGTCCTGAAACCTTAAACATTTGCAAAAGTGTTGCTATTGACAAGAATTAGACCACTAATGATCATTTAATGCTATTGTAAGTTTTCACACTGGATTTATTTTTTTCCATCTTGAATGAGTCAATCTACAAGATTGAAGTTTGAAATGTGTGATTTTTGAATAATGTATGAATTCCTATGTTTGATATTTAACACTGAGATGTTCAAATAAGACTAACTCATTGTACTGTGACTTTACAGGACATCGGGGGATCAGAGGAGGACTCTAACTAACACTGTGACCACAGAGTCAACAGCTTTACGTTTTAAAGAGGATAATTCTTCCTGTGATATACATGTCAAGTGTTTGCTGATTGATTAAAACAGTTATTTGGATCTAACATTTACTGTGTTGATTTTTGATGTATGTGTTTTTCTCTATCAATCTTAAATGCAATCTAACAACATTCCATTGGAGTAACATTGGGTTCCTTATTGTCAGAGCAGTACTCAACACATAAACACAGAAGCTCTTAAAATATATGCACCCCTATCAAAATATGAGGGTTTAATGTTATAACTGGGACTCAGCTTTTGTTTTCAGTCTTCTCCATAGTTTACATTCTCACGAATTATAGAGATTCTGACTGTCTACTGATAAATTACATTTACCCTGGAAAAATAATTTGACTTCTGTGTATTTGCATGTTTTATCATAGAATTTTTAAAGTTTAATTAATTTATTTGCATACCAGAGCTTGGGAACTGGGTTGCAAGCTTTTATGTGATTCTGTTGGGCCAAAAGTCACCAAACAATACATTACCATTGGAGCTAACGACACTGAAACATGACTTTGGTAACTTCATAGCCTTAGCTTTATTGTTGTGTTTTGTAGATAAGTTGGAAAATATTACTTTTTGAATTATTCCAAATGACAGTTTTGGTGCAAAAAAAAAAAAATCTGCCAGCTGAGAACACTGAAAATAAAGTGTGATGTTTCCTTTTTCAGCCTGAAGGTGGTGTCCAACCATAGGGAAAATCCACTGAAGAAAAATAACTGTTTTAGAATTTCTAACCAAATTTCAAAGCTTATTCTGGCAGGAGGTATCTGGAGTCACCCAAAATAGGGCTGTGTACAAGAGATGTCCTCGCAAGTAAAACATTTTTGAAAACAGTCACAGGGTGGTCTATATTTTAATAGTAAAGTCAACATGAGGGACATACTGCTTCTAAAGGCTAAAAAAAACAAACAAATCAAAAGCTGTCTGAGTAAACTTCATTAAATTGACACAGTTAAGGAATAAGGCTGTACATTGTGATTACAACTCTTTCCTCTTTCTAACAGCTTTGCCTTTTGTTTTTAAATTATACAAGATATGTGTCATATTAAAAGAAGCCCTGTTGCCTTAGAGCAAGAGGGTTCTGTGTTTTTGCATGTGGTTTGCATGTTCTCCCCGTGCATGCATGGGTTCTCACCATGTACTCTGGCAAGCCTGGTCCTGAATGTCCTTCAGAAAAGTTAAATATCATCTTGAAGTCGACCAGGATGAGGAAGTTAATGTATTGTCAAAACTTTATAATAATTGCCAAGTTAGATAATTTCAAAAAAGAAGGATCCTGCTTAATCTGGATTTAAGACTAAGAAAAGAATATAAGGAGTTGAGGTAATTAAAAAGATTAATAACGACTTTTTAAAAATGTTACCAAAGTGACAACTCATCTTTACATGACCTAAAGCTTTCCCTGGAGCTGCCTCTGAGACAAACGTGTTAAAATACGTAACCATACAGTTCCCAGGAAGAGAGATGCTGACAATCATTGTATATAAACTAGAAGTTGCTAGTTTACAGTACTCTGTGATAAGTTATACACACTGTCCATATGAAGAGCAAGATAACAAATGACGGGTCACTGCATATTTTCAAGCAATGCAAAGTACAGAAAATTTTTTGTTAAATGAAACTGCTTGTGTTACTCTTCAACGAAAGTCTTATAGCTTGTCTCTGGAAATAATTAGTTTGCTTGATCTTTTTAGGAAGAAAAGTAAATGGATAGCAATGGGCTTCTAAGACACATTAACTAAGAAAGACAGACAAGAGAAGAGAGAGAGAACTTGCCTTCACAAACAATTAGGTGGTCTCTTCCAGGAATTAGCACTTTTTTCATGTTAAATATAAATATATACACACATATATATATATATATATATA